AGTGAAACTCCACCTCAAAAAAAAAAAAGAGAAAAAAGGTTTAATGTGCATAGAAATCACTCACTGATCTCATTAAAATGCAGATTTCATGGTGGTTCTTGCCTACATTCTCAGCACTCTGGAAGGCCAAGGGGGTCTGAGAGGGGGATCCACTTGAGGCCAGGAAGTTCGAGACGGGCAACATAGTGATTCCCCTTCTCTAAAAAGAAAAAAAAAATTAGCTGGGTACGGTGATACATGCCTGTAATCCCATCTACTTGGGAGCCTATGATCACGCTGCTGTACTCCAGTGTAGGCAACAAAGCAAAACACTGTTTTTTAAAAAAAAAAGAAAAAAGAAGAAGCAGAATTCTATTCAGAAAAAGGGAGGTGGTGTAAAGGTGTGTTCTGCATTCCTGATTACCCTCAGATGATGCTAACGTTGCTGGTCCTCAGATCGTATTTTGAGTAGCAAGGTTTTAAGCAGACGTATATATACAACTAGGCTAACTCACTAGAAAAAAGCAAATGGTAACATGGTGGCAAAAAGTGAGAAGGATAAAACTGATGAATCCTGTTAAGTTTTTCACAACTGAGCACAATAAGTAATTCCCTATTAACAATGAAGAACACACACTTTTACTACCTCTTCATTCCTGCCGTGACTAAGTACCAGAAAAGATACAGAACTGGCCAGCTAGCGAGCCAGACTGGGAGTAAATCCATTTGAAAAGTTAAAAAAAAAAAACACACAAAATCTGCTCCACAGAGATCATCCCACAGAATATTAACCATCACTACCTTTCCCTCTCTGTATCTTGTGTCTTTTATTCCTTCTTCTAGTCAGTGTTTATCAAGTGTGTTTGGGGACCAACGGCACTCCCTGGCAATCTATTAACTGGTCTATAGGCAGTTTGAGAAAAAAGTGATAAAAGTTTTGATTAAAACCTTTCACAAATTTGAGAAGATTATGACTTTCACAGAAATCCTTTTAGGTTCTTTAATGCTGTTATACTGTAAGCACCACCCAAGCTTTCCACAAAGATAAGAAAAGACTATCATAATAAAATGAAAAGGAAAGGACTGACATACTTCCACAACCTGTGAACTGTTTACATTGGTTAAATACATATTTTGTTGTTCGTATCATATTGTGTTAAATCTCAAATTTAGGGAAATGAATCAATAGTTCAAAAGAGTAAAAGGAAAAAATTGAAGAGTAAAACTGAAAAATAAAAATACATTTAACTCAGAATGCCATAAATGATACCAGTATGATTTTATAGTGAAGACTGAACTTAGAATGGGCTGTGACTGGTGAACTAGGAGTGATTACTCTGTACTAGGAGACATCCTTGTTCCCACTGTACTGTGATACAGTATTAAATAGGGACAAGAAGCCACTGAAGTGTTCACATCATTTTCAACCACTCCAGTAAACCAAGCAAAGTCTCCACTATGAATTCTGTCACTAAAACAGCAAAATAATAGTCAAAGGTACTTCAACTTTTTTTAACAAAACAGGTTTAACTACTGTCAGCTGGAAAATTAATGACAAACACGCTCAGACGGAAACAAAACAATCTACCGGCAAAATTCTATCATCAGATGACACTACTGGACGTTATGTGCTATGCGTGTTATACAGAGAGGAAGAACAATTACTATCACGGATGCATGCTCTTAAGTATTTTGTTTTATGGCTGCATGAAGCCACTAGTGTACAGAGTATGAATCAACTCTTAGCATATACAACTGTAGTATGTTAATCAAGAAATACAAGCAACTTTTTAAGTTTTTACAAGAATATATTTTCTTTTTAACTAACAATTATTTTTGAACCTTGACTTGAAGAGTTGTGCTGGAATCAGCATGGCTAGAGCACTAGCTTTGTGGGCAGCAATGAAGAGCCCACCACCTGAAAGCCAATTCACACATGGCTTAATTTACAGACAACCGCTGGCTTGAGTCATTGTTAGTAACTGCATGGAAAATTGTGAATATAATTAAAATTGTAGCCCTTGAGCAGATAACCTTCAGTATGTTAAGAATGCAGAAGCAGGCTGGGCACACTGTGGCTCACGCCTGTAATCCTAGCACTTTGGGAGGTCAAGGTGGGTGGACTGCTTGAGCCCAGGAGTTTAGAGGCCAGCCTGGACAACATGGCAAAACCCCATCTCTGTTTGGGGAAAAAAAATAAAAAAAATAAAAAAAAATAAAGACTTTTTCTGTTTTGTCAAGAGGAAATATGCTAACAATACCTACTTGAAGGATACACGTTTTTTTTTTTTTTCTTTTCTTTTTTGAGATAGAGTCTTGCTCTGTTGCCCAGGCTGGAATGTAACAGTGTGATCTTAGCTCACAGCAACCTCTGCCTCCCAGGTTCACACAATTCTCTTACCTCAGGCTCCAAAGTAGCTGGGATTACAGGCTCCTGCCACCACACCTGGCTAATTTTTGTATATTCAGTAGAGACGGAGTTTCACTATGTTGGCCAAGCTGGTCTCGAACTCCTGATTTCAGGTGATCCGCCTGCCTCGGACTCCCAAAGTTCTGGGATTACAGGTGTGAGCCACTGTGCTCAGCATATATTCATTTTTTTATAACACTGATGATGTCATTAAAACATATCTATGATTTTAAGTGGCTAACTCAAGTGCCATACCTCTATGACAGGCAGTATAGTGATTAGCTTGAACATATCATTTCAGGGTAAAATTATAATTCTCTTTTTTTTTTTTTTTTTTTTTAAAGATAGGGTTTCACTCTGTTGCCCAGGCTGGAGGGCAGTGGCACAATCATAGCTCACTGCAGCCTTGAATTCCTGGGCTCAAGTGATCCTCCCACCTCAGCCTCCCAAGTAGCTAGGACTTACAGGTGTGCTCCATATACTTGGCTAATTCTTTTTTTTTTTTGTAGAGACATGGTTTTGCTATGTTGCCCAGGCTGGTCTTGAACTCCTAACCTCAAGCAATCCACCCACCTCAGCCTCAAAAGTGCGGGAATTACAGATGTGAGCTACCATGACTGGCTACAATTCTTTTTTGTTGTTGTTGAGACAGGGTCTCACTCTGTCTCCGAAGCTGGAGTACAGTGGTGCAATCACAGCTCACTGCGGCCTCCACCTCACAGACTCAGGTAATCTTCCCACTTCAGCCTTCTGAGTAGCTGGGCCTACAGGCATGTGCCACCATGCCCAGTTATTATTATTATTATTTTTTTGTAGAGATGGAATTTCACCATATTGCCCAGGGTAGTGTCAAGCAATCTACCCACCCCAGCTTCCCAAAGTGTTGAGATTATAGGTGTGAGCCACTGTGTCAGTCACAATTCTTAGTAACAAAATATGCAGACTAAATCATGATACAAATGGCTTAACCAAAGAATTTTGCTCTTTTCTAACAACTAGGTAGACTTGAAATCATATTCAATTACTGCACTAAACCTGAAAACACAGTTCCTAGAACTGAATTCAACCAAAAGGACAGATCTACACATTGCCATCTCCCAAATTAAAATGTTCACCTTTCCTGTTGAGTGCCATGCATTTGTCAACTTGATGTAGTTTTCAATGAGAATTCTTGTGATAATTTTTGTGTCCATTTGAATATCTAAAACATCTAAAAGAAATACCATATACTTGTTGATTTCCCCAAATCTATAATTCAAATATGGGGCTATCTAAAAACTAAGAGCAAGAAAAGAAATCGGTTAAATAGGAAACCTTAACTTGGACTTCGGGTCTTTCACCATATTAATGGTGGTGAAATTAATGTGGTGAAAGACTGTAGCAATCATTGCTTTTTCAGATAGTGATTTAAAAAGACTGCTTTGATCTTACAATAAAAACGTTTTGGATTATTCTTCTGTGTTTATCTAAAATCAGTGGTATGCATTGAAGACCCATCACGTGGTCCACAAATTCCAAATGTTTGAAAACAGTACTTTCTCTACTACACTACTTTTCTTTCATAGGAAGCGATCATTTTTTCCTGTGCATGTTAGAGAAAAACAGACAACCATGGAAATTTTGTTTGCCCTTATTAATCTTCTCACATTAGAAAAGCACTTCATTATCTACATTTATGTCGCCTCATTTTCAAAAACATTGGTTTGATTTCAGTATGAACAGCACTTATAAAAAACAATGTATCAGGCCGGGCGGGTGGCTCATGCCTGTAAACCCAGCACTTTGGGAGGTGGAGGCGGGCAGAACACGAGGTCAGGAGATTGAGACCATCCTGGCCAACATGGTAAAACCTGTCTCTAAAAACAAAGAAAAACACAAAAACAAAACTTGGCATGGTATAAACACCAAGCCAAGAGATTGACACCAATTTGTAACTGTATGGCTGTAATGGAACAGGCTCACTCAGCCTCAGCCTTAGTTATACTGCTGCTAAAGAAGCAGTCTGTTATACTATTTTTCCCATGCTAGTTATACTGCTGCTAAAGAAGCAGTCTGTTATACTATTTTTCCCATGCTAGGCCTGTTTTCCAAGATCTTTGGTTATTTCTTATTTGCCACTTCATAGAAAAGGGACAGCGGTATTTATTAAAGAAAGCACACATATTGCATTCCAAAGATGAGTTTAACTTCATTTCTTATTAAATCTTTAATGTCTCTACTTTTATTACTTAACAGGAAGAATTAAGGAGATGTATTAGAATATACTACTGCTTTCTTTCTCTTACACCAACTGTCTCCAGAGAATTAAGCTAAGTCAGCTTTTTATTATAGCTTTGTTACTCAATTATATCCACACAAGTATGCAAGTTCTCTATCAAATAAAGACAGTATACAGACTAATGGATAAATCTGGGGATATATTAAGGATACTGTAAACTGTTAGCAAAACAAATAAATGTCTCTGACATTCAGAGAGGAAACAAAAGAAAGAGAATATAGAAATTTACACACACACACACACCCACAAAACCAAACAGGTGGGTCATTTTAAAATAAACGAGACCATAAAGCTACGTAAATGTATCTGTGTTGTTTTTAAAGATATTCTTACCCAACTTTGGAAAAACTATTAGGTATTCGGCATTGCACTGAGGACATGCCACTCTGGCTGTACTATTTCCTCTTTGCTTTTCATCCACCCAGCGTTGTAGACAGGCTTGGTGAACCCATTTTGTAGATCCTCTGCACCTGCATGGTCTCACCCATTCAGCTGTTCTATCATCTTCATCAGTAGCAAAACAAACCCAGCAACTTCTGTAAATTAAAAGAGAAAATGACAACATTTATCTGTAGGACTCCAGCCTCCTCTATACTACAGCTCTTACTTAATGGGATAAGCCTACTATGTTGTATTATATAATCTCTGTCCTATATTAAAAGACTATGGAGACAAAACAACCAATACATTCCCACTAGAGCAGTTTCTACCTTTTCTGTTTTTCCTTGTCTTCCTCTACAGACTTTTATGTTTTCTGAATTTTGTTTTTATGTAATCTCTATCTTTTCAGTAATTCTTCACCTTCTCTAATGAACCAGAGTGTAAGAAGACATGCCTCAAGCTGCTTTTGTTTTATAAGACCTAATAATTCTTTCATGAATAGTAAGCACAGTAATATTTTAGATTCAGCGTTCTCCCAGTTCAACAACACCAATCTCTTGTGCTTGAAAAAACAAAGTATTACACAAGTGATTTTACATATGGTCTCATTCCATTTTCAGCTGAGGAAAAGAAAAAACCCATTTCTCTTTCTGGTAAAGTATAAATACATGAGAAAAAATATTATGTTTTCAAAAAAGCACAAAGGAGATAAAGATATCACTTTTTTTTTACGATAGCAATATGATAAATTTGGGTGTATATGCTTGAAGTTTGAAATCTACAAGTATCAACTCTGGGATGCTTATGTTAATAAAAGTAAAATTCTATCGAGATGGGTAATTTTAAAACATTTTCCCACTTTGCTTTTAAGGGTACTTCATGAAGTCTAATTTTTTTCTTATGGAATAAGGTTGCAATTCCTCAGTTTTTCTCCCAATTGACACAAGTTTTGACATCGATTTCCATTAGGGCAAATACAGTTGAATTCAATGAGACCATTCTTTCCTTCCCTCCATTAAAATATGTACTAGTGGAAACAACTGCTAATTAAAGCACGTTACCTACTGTGCACTTTTCACTTAATTGGATAAGTGGCTTCTATCAGAACAACTAGCTTAACTATGCTCAGTGGGAAAGACTATATAGTCAGGTGTTATAGATGGGTGAGGTCTCCAGTCCTTGTGGAACAACATGAATTTCAATTGTGTGATCCAATTAAAATTTTTCAATTCTAACAGGAAAAAAGTTGAACTAAATCCATGGCAACGGTATTTAAAATTGTGGTTTTATTCAGCTTTAAAATTCAGTCAGGTTTCATAGGATCTAAGCAAAATTAGAACGCAGGTAGCATTTGTTTAGCATTCTGACCCTTCTGACCCACTTTAGCTAAGCTGTCTGGGCATTCACACAGTCTTATGATTGTCCAAAAATACCTTGTTTTTTTTTTTTTTTTTTTTTTTTGAAATGGAGTCTCACTCTTTTACCTAGGTTGGAGTGCAATGGCGCGATTTCAGCTCACTGCAACCTCTGCCTCCCAGGTTCAGGCAATTCTCTGCCTCAGCCTCCTGAGCAGCTGGGATTACAGGCGTCCACCACCACGCCTGGCAAATTTTTGTATTTTTAGTAGAGATGGGATTTCACCATCTTGGCCAGGCTGGTCTTGAACTCCTGACCTCATGATCCACCCGCCTCGGCCTCCCAAAGAATATCTTGTTTTTTTTAAAAAAAATGTATCGTCATAAAATATACGTAAAATTACTACTTTAGCCATTTTTTAGGTTTATAATTCAGTGGCAGTAAGTATATTTATACTGTTGTGCAACCACCAAGGCTACCCATGGTAGGACTGGGTTTTAATCTATGATTTTTGCATAAAACTTCAATTGCTAAGTATACTGGCACATAGACTGGTTGAGATGTTGCTAGTATATATTTTTCCCTACAACTGAGGTAACTTTGTGAACATATTTGTATACATCTACGAAATGGAATATATCATTTTAGCAACAAAATATTGGCAGAATATCTAGACTTTTTATTCTCATACTTTATTTCAGCACATATGTAGCTAAGTATGGCTATGCTGGCATTACTAATCAGTATTAAGGTGAATCAAATTTTAAATTAATTCAATTTCAGTCATTAGAAAAATAAAATACATCTACTCATACAACCTTAGTACTAGGTTGAATCAACTGAAATAGTTTACATTAATCTGTTTTTAACCTAGAGAAATGATAGGTCAAATTTCATATTTCAATCTAATGAGAATACTTGCATAGCTATTATATTCCTCATAAATTCTAGATAAGGTTTATTTTCCCCCACCATTTTATTATGAAAAATTTCAAACTTTCCAAAAAATGCTGGAAACTGTTCAGTGAATACCCATATAACCAACATTTAGATCCTATAATCCTTATCATTTTGCTATCTTTCCTTTCTCACACATCCATCCACCTTTTTTTTTTTTGCTGCATTTCAAAGTTGCAGGCATCAGTATATTTCAGCCTTAAATACTTGTATGGCTTTACTTTTTAGAACTTACATTTAAAGCATACACTTTCAGATTTTTTCTAATTAATTTCACAACTACGGTAAATGAGATAGTTGAATGATGATTTATAGTGGGAACTTATCAGGAGTTAAGCTTTCAGTTGAAAGAGCAATGTCAGATGTGTGTGAACCAGAGCAACTCCATCTTGAATAGCAGCCGAATAAAATGAGGCTAAAACCTACTGGGCTGCATTCCCAGATAGTTAAGGCATTCTAAGTCACAAGCTGAGATATGAGGTCAGCACAAAATAGAGATCATAAAGATATTTCTGATAAAACAGATTTCAGTAAGGATGCCAGCTAAAACCCACCAAAACCAAGATGGCCACAAGTGACCTCTGGTCATCCTCACTGCTACACTCCCACCAGCGCCATGACAGTTTACGAATGCCATGGCAATGTCAAGAAGTTACCTTACATGGTCTAGAAAGGGGAGGCATAAATAATCTACTCCTTGTTTAGCATATCTTCAAGAAATAACCACAAAAATGGGCAACCAGCAGCCCAGAGTCTTACTCTGTCACCCAGGCTGAAGTGCAGTGGTGCCATCTTGGCTCACTGCATCTCTGCCTCCTGGTTCAAGTGATTTTTGTGCATCGACCTCCCAAGTAGTGGAATTACAGGGTGCCTGCCACCATGCCCAGCTTATTTTTGCATTTTTAGTAGAGATGGGGTTTCACCATGTTGGCCAGGCTGGTCTTGAACTCCTGACCTCAAGTGACCTGCCCACCTCAGGCTCCCAAAATGCTGGGATTACAGGCATGACCCACTGTGCCCAGTCACATGCAGCTAATTAATTTTTTTTTTTTTTTTTTTTTTTTTACAGACAGGATCTCCTTATGTTGCCTAGGCTAGTCTCAAACTCCTGGGCTCAAGTAATCCTCCTGCTTCAGCCTCCCAAAGTTTTGGGATTACAGGCATGAGCCACTGTGCCTGGTCAAAAATGTTATGTTATAAAGAATTTATTAACTGGCCAGGAGCGGTGGCTCATGCTTATAATCCCAGCACTTTGGGAGGCTGAGGTGGGTGGATCACCTGATGTCTTGGAGTTCGAGACTAGCCTGGCCAACAAGGTGAAACCCCATCTCTACCCAAAGTATAAAAACTTAGCTGGGTGTGGTGGCGGGCATCTATAATACCAGCTATTCGGGAGGCTGAGGCAGGAGAATCACTTGAACTCACAGCAGTGGAGGTTGAAGTGAGCTGAGATAGTGCTATTGCACTCCACCCTAGGCAACAAGAGCAAAACTTCTCCTTAAAAAAAAAAAAATGAAACAAAAAAGAATTTAACTGATTTATGATCTTACTAGGTATTTAAATTTAACCCATCCAGTATGGAAAGAATACTAGTCTGTGAAATGAGGGCTGAGCAAAGAGGAAATTAAAGCATGTAAAAATGGTCACATGAATGTCTTTAGGCCAATATCAGCATATAAGATAGTGCGATTAGTCTTAAGAGCTGAAAAAAAGGAGGGGAGGACACACACATGATAAATACTCTTTCCTTATTTTTATTATGAGATAGGTCTGGCTATGTTGTCCAGGCTGGACTCCAATGAAACTCCTGGGCTCAGGTGATCCTTCTGGCCCAGTTTCCTGATTACCCAGAACTGCAGGCATACAGTCTAGCTTCCTGCCTCCCCACTGCCACCACTTTTTTTTGAGACTGAGTCTTGTTCTGTCACCCAGGTTGGAGTGCAGTGGCGCAATCTTGACTCACTGCAACCTCTGCCTCCCAGGTTCAAGCTATTCTCCTGCCTCAGACTCCCTCAGCCTCCCAAGTAACTGGGACTAAAGGCATCCACCACCATGCCCACTAATTTTTGTATTTTTAGTAGAGATGGGGTTTTACCATGTTGGCCAGGTTGGTCTTGAACTCCTGATCTCAAGTGATCCACCTGCCTCGGCCTCCCAAAGTGCTGAGATTATAGACATAAGCCACCATACCTGTCTCCTACTCCCTTTTTTAAACCTCTGATAGACTGACCAGGAACATCACCTGAGAAGGTCTTATAATTATGCTTTCCCTTTTTGCTATTCCATACCCTACACCTCCCACTCTATGTAATTAATCTATTTCAACTATTTATTCCCCAATTCTCCACCTCCTTCCTTTTAAGACGGAGAAGAACTATTTGAAAATGATGCATTTACAATTTCTCAAGATCTCAGAATGGAGGGGAGACTAGAAATTTGATGTTTAATGTATATACAAGTCCTCTTACTATCTAGGAGCAAACAGTATCCCACACTTTCTATGGAAAATCATTCTTCCCTCCAACATCAGCCATGTATGTGGTTTAGGCAGCTCATGTTGTAACCAACCCCAGAAACCCTAACATTGGCCACAGTAACCCATCCTCCAGACTACATCATTGGGAGGCTGGGCCCCTAAAGCTGGTCTAGTGAACCTCAGAATTTTTGCTGGGAAAAGTGGTACACAGACTTTTCTCTTTTGCTGGGCTTAGAGGCAGAGAATGTGAGGCTATTGCTGCCAGGAGAGTCACCAACTAAGTGGAGCCTTAATAATCCAGAGGAAGTAAAGGTGGAAACTGGCAGCATTGTTTGAGACATGGATCAAGCTGTGTTGTGCCTAAAG